GTATGTGTCTTTTTGGGACCCAGTCATTTAGAAGATTGGGAAAATGTTGGATGGAAGGAAGATGATTTTCATTTCTAAAGTGGGAAAATTAATTTTAGTTAAGTCTTTATTGGATAGGATTCCCATTTAATTTTTGCCCCTCTGAAGATGCCTGGGGTGGCAGCTAAAAGGTTTGAATGGATGATAAGGGGTTTTTTGTAGGAAGGGAAAAGAGTAAAAAGGATTTGGTGAGTTGGGAGATAGTATATTGGTTAAAAGCAAAAGGTGGACTTTAGGTGGCTTCAAGGATCAAAATATCGTATCGAAACGTTCAAAACATTTCAGAATTTCAACACTCCAACACAAAACAGTGGTTAAATCATAAAATTTCAGTGTTTCGTTCAAGACGGAACTGTTGCGGACCGTTTCGACGAAACAGTGGATAGATTCGGTTCACCGTTCACTCCAGGCCAAAAGAAAAAAGAGAGAAAAGAGAGAGGCTCAAAAAGTAGATTCCACAAGTCAGAATTCACAGTTCCAAGCCAAAAAAAAGGGGGGGAAAAGTAGAGATTTCAGAAGATATCACATGTCCAGGTCCAGTCTAGTTCTTTCAAGTAAAAAAAATAGAGAATAGAGAGAAAGACACTAGACGAAATCGAAGACGCAGAGAACTATAGACTAGAAATTGAAGGAGAAGTTACTGTAACTTACCTCCTTGACTCCAGATTTGAACAGATCCAATCATTATCCACGCAGATCTAGGGCTTGGGAGTTGTCCTGTCTTCATCGCTGCGACCGCGAGCTACCACTGGTCCACTAGTATGTTTTTCTCTTCTTTTTCTTCTCTCTCTCTCCGGCACCGGCATCGCCCATCACGATCGCCTATGCCTACCCCTCTCGCCTCTCAGTCTTCTCTCTGTTCGTTTGTGGTTGAACTGTGCGTCTTCTACCTTTTATATATATTTTTTTTGTTATAAGTATGAATAATTACATTTAATATCTTACTGTAATTATATTTAATACCCCACTATAATTATATTTAATACCCACTGTAATTATATTTAATACTCTATTATAATTACATTTAATACTCCACTGCTGTGCAGGTCTTCTGCCTTTATTTATTTATAAGTATGAACAATTACATTTAATACACTACTGTAATTATATTTAATACCCCATTGTAATTATATTTAATATCCATTGTAATTACATTTAATACCCACTGCAATTACATTTAATTTTTTTAAGTATACATAAGTACCATTAATTTAATTTGATACCCTTCATTATTAGTATTATAATAAAATAGTATTATTAATTAGATAATATTTTAATTTATTTGATGAAAATTAAGTATACATGTGTTTATTTGATGAAAATTAAGTGTTTGAAACTAATTTACGTGATTTTCGCTTTATGTCAAGCCTTTTTTGCCCTCTAATTTAAATTTATTCTTGTATAAATGGATATTAATCCAATAAATATGTTGAATTAATTAATTATTTAGCTTATCCATATAAATAAATGAATTGTATTTGTGTTTTCACGTGTTTTCATATTTTTTTTGCGTTTTCATTGCGTTTCTGAAACGTTTCCATTTTTGAACTGACCGAAACGGTACTTCGAAACAAAATTTCGATCCTTGGGTGGCTTCCTTGTTTTTCTTAAAAGGTCAAGCTCATTGTGGGTTACTAGTTGAGAGTTCGGTTTTGGAAGGATAGATGGGTTGGGGACTTGTCTCTTTCAAGTTTATTGCCTTGTTTCATTTTGCACTAAGTACCTTGGTTATAGTGTTGCATCCTTGGTTAAGTCTTTTTTCAGCTTAATTTCTTTGGATTTTGGTTTTCGTAGAAATCTTAATAATTGTGATACTTTGGAGTTGGTGTTGCTTCTTTCTATTCTTGATTCGGTTTGATGTAGATCATATTAGCTCTGATACTAAATTGATGTAGAATAGGAAGGGAAGAATTAGGGATGAGAAGAGCAGAAGAAAGAGATGAAAAAAGAGAAAGAATTTGAGAATGAAGCAATATTAGTATTCAATAATAATCAAAGTCTAATCTAAATAAAACCCTTACATGCATCCCTTTATATAGGAAAGCTAAAACCCTAAAACAAATAAGTAATGACAAATAAATTCTTAAAAGTTAAAAGAAATTGCTTAAAAGATAAATATTAAAAGTATTCAAATTATTCTCATGATTAATTTAAAATATCTATCAAATTCCTACACGATCCCCTTTATTCTTCCTCGGTTGAGAAAATTCTCCTTCGGAGAGTCTTCACNAATTTAAAATATCTATCAAATTCCTACACGATCCCCTTTATTCTTCCTCGGTTGAGAAAAATTCTCCTCTGGAGAGTCTTCATAGTAGAAGTACCCTAAGAGAGCAAGATGAAGATGACATAATGCCTCATCTAGAATGCAAGAACCATCAACTTCTTTCCATCGATCAGGATAAATGCAAGAATCTCCATCTATATGAACATCTGCTAATAAAATTGATATCAACTTGATGTAGACCGTATTAGCTCTGATACCAAATTAATGTAGATTGTATTAGCTCTGATACTAAATTGATATAGATCGTATTAGCTCTGATACCAAATTGATGTAGATTGTATCAGCTCTGATACCAAATTGAGGTAGAATAAGAATGGAAGAATTAGGGATGAGAAGAGAAGAGAAAAGATATGAGAAAAGAGAAAGAATTTGAGAATGAAGCAATATCAGTATTCACTAATAATCAAAGTCTAATTTAAATAAAACCCTTACATGCATCCCTTTATATAGGGAAACTAAAACCCTAAAACAAATAAATAATGACAAATAAACTCTTAAAAGTTAAAAGAAATTGCTTAAAAGATAAATATTAAAAGTATTCAAATTATTCTCATGATTAATTTAAAATATCTATCAAATTCCTACACGATCCCCTTTATTCTTCCTCGGTTGAGAAAATTCTCCTTCGGAGAGTCTTCACAGTAGAAGTACCCTAAGAGAGCAAGATGAAGATGACATAATGCCTCATCTAGAATGCAAGAACCATCAACTTCTTTCCATCGATCAAGATAAATGCAAGAATCTCCATCTGTATGAACATCTGCTAATAAAATTGATATCAACTTGATGTAGACCGTATTAGCTCTGATACCAAATTAATGTAGATTGTATTAGCTCTGATACTAAATTGATATAGATCGTATTAGCTCTGATACCAAATTGATGTAGATTGTATCAGCTCTGATACCAAATTGAGGTAGAATAAGAATGGAAGAATTAGGGATGAGAAGAAAAGAAAAAAGATATGAGAAAAGAGAAAGAATTTGAGAATGAAGCAATATCAGTATTCACTAATAATCAAAGTCTAATTTAAATAAAACCCTTACATGCATCCCTTTATATAGGGAAACTAAAACCCTAAAACAAATAAATAATGACAAATAAACTCTTAAAAGTTAAAAAAAATTATTTAAAAGATAAATATTAAAAGTATCCAAATTACTCTCATGATTAATTTAAAATATTTATCCAATTCATTCACGATCCCGATCNAAAGATAAATATTAAAAGTATCCAAATTACTCTCATGATTAATTTAAAATATCTATCCAATTCCTACACGATCCCGATTACGGTTACATTGAAATTTGATTTTTGGAGAAAAGATGAAAGTTTGTAGATCCTTCTGGTTCCTTTTCATGTAAGTATTTCTTCAAATCTTTGACTGATAATCCTTCTCATCCTCTCATTTACCCATCATTGATGATTTGGAAGGTTATAGATGCCTTTGAAAATGCATGTTTGTGCATGGGTGATTACTCATGGAAAAATTTATACTCATGATATACTTCAAAGGAGGAGACCTTGTACTAATCTTTGCTCTCAATGGTGCGTTATGTGTAATGGGAGTTATAAATCGTGGAACATTTATTTTTACATTGTCCTACGAGTATCTGTGGAATAAACTTATTTGAGTTGGTAGGGGTTTGTTGGGTGAGTTGGGAGGGATTTGTTGTGGCACAACGGACTAAGTCATCTATGTTGTGTTTGGATTTTAAAGGGTTGGGNAATGGGAGTTATAAATCGTGGAACATTTATTTTTACATTGTCCTACGAGTATCTGTGAAATAAACTTATTTGAGTTGGTAGGGGTTTGTTGGGTGAGTTGGGAGGGATTTGTTGTGGCACAACAGACTAAGTCATCTATGTTGTGTTTGGATTTTAAAGGGTTGGGTTGCGTGGAGGTGGGAGGGGTGGTACTCTTTGGCGATATGCTTTCTTAGCCATTATGTGGGTTATTTGGTTAGAAAGAAATTCAAGGATTTTTTACGAGAAGAAGAAATTGGTTGGTTGTTGGACCGGATGTAGGATTGGATTTATTTCTTGGCTTCCTTTTGGGCTTTGGTTATGAAGAATATTTGGAAATTTCTGTTTTTTGTGTTACCACAAGTTGGACAGGGTCTTGGGGCTGTCCATGCCTATCAGGATGGCTCTGTGATGTGTAATGTTTTATTTTTTATTTTTTCTGGTCTTTTGCATGTTTTTGGGATGCACGTCTTATCCATCTTTACTTGGATAATGTAAGACTTTATTTTATCTCTTACTAAAATTTTATATAGTACGTAAGACATGTCATATAATAAGCATATTGAAGAATGCTGATGAGTAATCATGCATATTTCTTCCCTCCCTTGAAACGTGGAAAATTTTTAATTTTTCATCTTTGAAGATAGAACCTTTAGCTATCTTGCATTTCTTGTGATGCAAAAAGTTTGTAATTGAATGGAAGCATAAGGCCCTCTCACCTTCTTTATTGAATTAGCAAGTCTTATTGTCAACCATAAAGCTGTGTAGATATAGATACAAACACATACTACATTGATATGTGATATTTGTACAACTTGTAAGAGTATTAAGAGTACCTTCCAACTTTTTCAACCTGTCTGTGTTAACTCTTTGTCACCTTTTAACTTCAGTTATTGTTATTACGTGATTGCACTTCATTTGAATATAGGTTTGGGCTGTCCTGAAACCTGGCTTCTTGGCCTTACTGGAAGATCCTTTTGATGTCAAACTTTTAGATATAATTGTTTTTGATCTGCTACCAGCTTCAAATGGAGATGGGAAAAGCCTAGTATCATTGGCAGATGAGATAAAGGAACGTAATCCTTTGCGTTATGCATTTAAGGTTAGTTTTTTGTTATCATTTTGTATTGTTGAAACTCAAGTATATTAATTATTTTTGGATGTAGAATCACTATTAGGCATGTTTTGTTACTATCTTATGTTTTATTTACACTTTCCGGGGGCGGTGGAGGAGAGGAATATTATTAGTACAATCTTAGAAGCACGAACACTTCATTTTGGCCAGTGTCGGTGTCGGATAAGTCTTGGACATGGACACGCTTCGGATATGCTAAAATGAGTCAAAGTCATAATGTAAATGAAGTTATAATCATTATATTGAACATATGACATGAATGTAACATAGTTTTAGATACGAATACAAATTTATATATAAATGGAATAACCTTTTAATATGAAAGTAATGTGAGAAAAAATAGGATTACAAAATTGGGGATCTTTGAAATTGATGAAAATTAGTGTTACGAAGTGGAATATTTTTGAAAATGAAAGTTGTAGTAGTCTTTGATTGTTGGATCATGGTTGTTAATGTTGAATACTTGAATGTATATCGGTATATCTTATATTGTATTTTTTATACAGTAATATCATGATGCGAATTTTTAGAATTAGGAAAAAGCTGAATAAAAAGAATATTATGATAATATTTTTCTTTTATCACATGATTATATATTTATATATATAAATACATATTATTTAACGGATTGCCAACATGTCCGTGGTCTACTTTTTTGAAAAATTTCTTGTGTCCGTGTTGTGTCGTGTCCGTGCTTCTTGTAGTACAGTATCTTGAAACATTTGTTTGGTTTTGGAAGAGCCCATTCTTATGGGTTTGGGAAGCTTTCTACAGCAATCAAAACTTTTGTGGCAAGAGAGAGAGAGAGAGAGAGAGAGAGNGTTTTTTGTGTTACCACAAGTTGGACAGGGTCTTGGGGCTGTCCATGCCTATCAGGATGGCTCTGTGATGTGTAATGTTTTATTTTTTATTTTTTCTGGTCTTTTGCATGTTTTTGGGATGCACGTCTTATCCATCTTTACTTGGATAATGTAAGACTTTATTTTATCTCTTACTAAAATTTTATATAGTACGTAAGACATGTCATATAATAAGCATATTGAAGAATGCTGATGAGTAATCATGCATATTTCTTCCCTCCCTTGAAATGTGGAAAATTTTTAATTTTTCATCTTTGAAGATAGGACCTTTAGCTATCTTGCATTTCTTGTGATGCAAAAAGTTTGTAATTGAATGGAAGCATAAGGCCCTCTCACCTTCTTTATTGAATTAGCAAGTCTTATTGTCAACCATAAAGCTGTGTAGATATAGATACAAACACATACTACATTGATATGTGATATTTGTACAACTTGTAAGAGTATTAAGAGTACCTTCCAACTTTTTCAACCTGTCTGTGTTAACTCTTTGTCACCTTTTAACTTCAGTTATTGTTATTACGTGATCGCACTTCATTTGAATATAGGTTTGGGCTGTCCTGAAACCTGGCTTCTTGGCCTTACTGGAAGATCCTTTTGATGTCAAACTTTTAGATATAATTGTTTTTGATCTGCTACCAGCTTCAAATGGAGATGGGAAAAGCCTAGTATCATTGGCAGATGAGATAAAGGAACGTAATCCTTTGCGTTATGCATTTAAGGTTAGTTTTTTGTTATCATTTTGTATTGTTGAAACTCAAGTATATTAATTATTTTTGGATGTAGAATCACTATTAGGCATGTTTTGTTACTATCTTATGTTTTATTTACACTTTCCGGGGGCGGTGGAGGAGNGGATGTAGAATCACTATTAGGCATGTTTTTTTACTATCTTATGTTTTATTTACGCTTTCCGGGGGCGGTGGAGGAGAGGAATATTATTAGTACAATCTTAGAAGCACGAACACTTCATTTTGGCCAGTGTCAGTGTCGGATAAGTCTTGGACATGGACACGCTTCGGATATGCTAAAATGAGTCAAAGTCATAATGTAAATGAAGTTATTATCATTACNAACCAAATTCTTGGGAAGATGCTATGAAAGATGAACTGGAGCGTGGAAAATATCCTCGTATGCCATGGCATGATGTCCATTGTGCTCTTTGGGGACCACCCTGTCGAGATGTTGCTAGGCATTTTGTTCAGCGTTGGAACCATGCGAAGGTGGATCTAATGTTTGCTTCTATTACTGTACTATACTCTTGTCAAATTTCAGTTTCTTATATCGTTGAGCATTGATTCAGAGAAGTAAAGCTCCAAATGAACAAACAATACCACTCCTTATGCCACGNTCCAACTTTTTCAACCTGTCTGTGTTAACTCTTTGTCACCTTTTAACTTCAGTTATTGTTATTACGTGATTGCACTTCATTTGAATATAGGTTTGGGCTGTCCTGAAACCTGGCTTCTTGGCCTTACTGGAAGATCCTTTTGATGTCAAACTTTTAGATATAATTGTTTTTGATCTGCTACCAGCTTCAAATGGAGATGGGAAAAGCCTAGTATCATTGGCAGATGAGATAAAGGAACGTAATCCTTTGCGTTATGCATTTAAGGTTAGTTTTTTGTTATCATTTTGTATTGTTGAAACTCAAGTATATTAATTATTTTTGGATGTAGAATCACTATTAGGCATGTTTTGTTACTATCTTATGTTTTATTTACACTTTCCGGGGGCGGTGGAGGAGAGGAATATTATTAGTACAATCTTAGAAGCACGAACACTTCATTTTGGCCAGTGTCGGTGTCGGATAAGTCTTGGACATGGACACGCTTCGGATATGCTAAAATGAGTCAAAGTCATAATGTAAATGAAGTTATAATCATTATATTGAACATATGACATGAATGTAACATAGTTTTAGATACGAATACAAATTTATATATAAATGGAATAACCTTTTAATATGAAAGTAATGTGAGAAAAAATAGGATTACAAAATTGGGGATCTTTGAAATTGATGAAAATTAGTGTTACGAAGTAGAATATTTTTGAAAATGAAAGTTGTAGTAGTCTTTGATTGTTGGATCATGGTTGTTAATGTTGAATACTTGAATGTATATCGGTATATCTTATATTGTATTTTTTATACAGTAATATCATGATGCGAATTTTTAGAATTAGGAAAAAGCTGAATAAAAAGAATATTATGATAATATTTTTCTTTTATCACATGATTATATATTTATATATATAAATACATATTATTTAACGGATTGCCAACATGTCCGTGGTCTACTTTTTTGAAAAATTTCTTGTGTCCGTGTTGTGTCGTGTCCGTGCTTCTTGTAGTACAATATCTTGAAACATTTGTTTGGTTTTGGAAGAGCCCATTCTTATGGGTTTGGGAAGCTTTCTACAGCAATTAAAACTTTTGTGGCGAGAGAGAGAGAGAGAGAGAGAGAGAGAGAGAGTGAAACTGAGTGAACTTTTCCAGAAGAAAATAAACATTTTTATATGATGGAGTGAAATGTCTTGAGTGCACTTTAGCTAATTTTCTCGAGGTTATTATTCACAATGTCTGGAAAATTTATGAAACTACTTGCATTATAAACACCTTCCATTTAATTTTTTGTATTTGACATATGGAATCACGAAAGGTTTCTTGTGGAAACCGGAGCATAAAGTTGAGAACTACAAGTTACGCCAAAGTCAGAGACTGGGTTTCTGCTATCAATGATGCCGGTTTATGGCCTCCAGAAGGGTGGTGTAATCCTCATCGCTTTGGTTCTTTTGCTCCTCCCAGGGGTTTGATTGAAGATGGTAGTCAAGCTCAGTGGTTCATAGACGGAAAAGCAGCATTTGAAGCAATTGCATCATCAATAGAGAGCGCAAAATCTGAGGTTGAAATTCTAGAGCTGCCATGTCACATGCTGAAATTAGTTTATATTACCAAACATATTACCATCAGAACACTCAGCTAACCAGATGTTGCTATGTAGATTTACATTACTGGATGGTGGCTTTGCCCAGAAGTGTATTTGAGACGTCCGTTTCACAGTCATGGCTCCACTCGACTTGATGCTTTACTTGAAACTAAGGCTAAAGAAGGGGTCAAGGTGCGTATGCAAGAGATACTTTGTTGTAGTCAATACTGTATTTGTTTCATCACCATCAAATCTATCTTTGTGAGAGATGCTTTTTAACTCATGTCTGAGAATCCATTTCTTTCAAAGCTACTAAACAATGGTCCAGTAACTTATCGGCTTTTGTTGAAATATTCTGTCAAGAAAACTAAGTTTGTGGGGATTAGTTTTATATGTTTTACCATTATGCCCAACTCAAATCTTTACATATGATAAATTATATCTGTGAAAGGTCTTACTCTCAGTTGTCATGTGCACATATTGGTATTTGGATTTTGGAATGATTGGCAGTTTGCTTCCATGTATTAAGAGTCAATGCTTCTGGAAGAATCTTATTCTTGATTGTTAAATGCACATGTTTGGATTTGGAGTTTGGACATAGGGTGCATCTGCGTCAAGTGCTAATACTGCTTAACATTTGCTAGATTTTTGGCACTGGATGACTATGTTATAAACCGGTCTCTTTTTTCATGTGAGTTGCAATTGCATGCAACTCTTGCATGCTCACCTTCAATTATTAATTGACATCTGCATCCTTTTCTTTGGGGATAACAAACACCTGCATCCTGAAACGTTTTGTATTTGATATATAACTAAGCCATGCTTCGAATATCATTCAGTTTATTTCTCGTTCAAAGTAGACCAAAGTAGACCTTTAGAACAAGGTGAACACACTGATAAATTTTTTCTTTCACATTCTGGTTACCATTTCTCCCTCCTGTGGATTTGACAAAGCGTCGGTTCTTATTTTTAACTTCACCTATTATGCAGATTTACATCCTTTTATACAAGGAGGTTTCTATTGCTTTAAAAATCAACAGTTTATACAGTAAGAAAAAGCTTCTTAACATTCATGAGAATGTAAGAGTGTTGCGTTACCCAGACCATTTCTCAACCGGCGTTTACTTGTGGTATGCAGTTCATGAACTCAGGACAATCAGCTTTTTAATCATTGGATTGAAACAGAGTTTTATTTTATTTATACTTAAACTCTGTTTTTGTGCAAGAACTGCTTGAACATTTTTGGCTTCATACAGGTCACATCATGAAAAACTTGTCATTGTTGATCATCATATTTGCTTTATGGGGGGACTAGACTTATGTTTTGGACGCTATGACACAATTGAACACAAAGTGGGTGATTGCCCTCCTTTTTTATGGCCTGGAAAGGACTATTACAACCCAAGGTGAGTTCTGTTTTTTCCTTTCCTTTTTCTTTTTCCTCCTTTCACCAGAAACATGATTGGGTTCTGTAAGTAATTCGGAATTGATAATATGACTATGGAAGAAGTTGAAAAATAGGGTCCTACCAAGACTTTTTGCAGTACAAAAAATATTGATTATACGGTTATACCTTTTTTGTCCTCGGTAGCAAGTATATTATTATTATTACTAATATTATGATTTCCTATGAACTTTTTAGCTAATCGTTTGACAAGTTCTTCCATATCATTGTGAGGTACTATATTGCTGATAATTGATAATAGCATTGACATGTATTCTAAAATAAATACAAAAGAAGATAACAGAAACTTATGCTGTTCATTAGCGTTACCTAACAACTTGGTCCTTATAAATTAAACTCTTGATATTTCTTCACCTTCCATTTTGTCGAATTAGAGAATCTGAACCAAATTCTTGGGAAGATGCTATGAAAGATGAACTGGAGCGTGGAAAATATCCTCGTATGCCATGGCATGATGTCCATTGTGCTCTTTGGGGACCACCCTGTCGAGATGTTGCTAGGCATTTTGTTCAGCGTTGGAACCATGCGAAGGTGGATCTAATGTTTGCTTCTATTACTGTACTATACTCTTGTCAAATTTCAGTTTCTTATATCGTTGAGCATTGATTCAGAGAAGTAAAGCTCCAAATGAACAAACAATACCACTCCTTATGCCACGACACCACATGGTTATCCCACACTACATGGGAAGAAGCAGAAAGATGGACATTGAAAGTAACACCACTGAAGTAAAGCAGAAAGACATCAGTAGACAGGATTCGTTTTCCTCCAGATCACCGTTAGAAGATATCCCATTGCTTTTGCCCCAGGAAGCTGGTGGACTAGATGCTTCCAACATCGATAGCAACTTAAATGGCTTGGACCAGAGCCACTATCATCTAGATCAGCCAAGCAGGTCTGGTCCAGGCCCTTCATTCTTTTTTGAGGAAGCCAAAGTGGAACCTTTAATACCAGATATGCAGATAAAAGGCTTTGTGGATGATTTTGATTCTTTGGATCTTCAAAACACAATGATTATAGATGCAGTAGCAGAGTCTGGCTTGCAAATTTCTGATGAGTGGTGGGAAACACAAGAGCGAGGTTGTCAAGTTGTTTCACCTGATGAAACTTCACAAATTGGTCNTCGAGATGTTGCTAGGCATTTTGTTCAGCGTTGGAACCATGCGAAGGTGGATCTAATGTTTGCTTCTATTACTGTACTATACTCTTGTCAAATTTCAGTTTCTAATATCATTGAGCATTGATTCAGAGAAGTAAAGCTCCAAATGAACAAACAATACCACTCCTTATGCCACGACACCACATGGTTATCCCACACTACATGGGAAGAAGCAGAAAGATGGACATTGAAAGTAACACCACTGAAGTAAAGCAGAAAGACATCAGTAGACAGGATTCGTTTTCCTCCAGATCACCGTTAGAAGATATCCCATTGCTTTTGCCCCAGGAAGCTGGTGGACTAGATGCTTCCAACATCAATAGCAACTTAAATGGCTTGGACCAGAGCCACTATCATCTAGATCAGCCAAGCAGGTCTGGTCCAGGCCCTTCATTCTTTTTAGAGGAAGCCAAAGTTGAACCTTTAATACCAGATATGCAGATAAAAGGCTTTGTGGATGATTTTGATTCTTTGGATCTTCAACACACAATGATTATAGATGCAGTAGCAGAGTCTGGCTTGCAAATTTCTGATGAGTGGTGGGAAACACAAGAGAAAGGTTGTCAAGTTGTTTCACCTGATGAAACTTCACAAATTGGTTCCCGTACTTCTTGCCGTTGTCAGGTTAGCTTTACCTCTGAAGATCTAGTTAAAATTCTACATGTACTTTTTTAAATATTTGACATAGTTTATGGATTGTAGTTACAAGTATAATTAGTTCCTGTAGCTTTATAAAGTAAAACTTTTGACACTGTCAAAATGTTTTCTTACAATGAAATGTATAACTACTCCTCAAATTAGGTGTTGGGACTTTTGGATTTAAATTGCATCAAATGGTCAAAAGCTTCAATTTGTTCGATAACCACCAACCAACAACATTGATGGACTTTCCCCTAATAGCATTTCAAACGATCAAAAATCAAAATTTTGTTTTGGCATATTGTTTCGGCCTCGTAAGAAATAATCATTTCGAAAACCTTTTGAAAATAGATTTAAAATGGAGAAAAAATTTTAAAAATTTCTTTCCGAGACATCCTTAAACATTGGTTGAAAAATACCGAAATCCTGAAATCCCACGAAACTAAGAATTTGGATATTCAATGACTTATTGGTTTCAGTTTTCATGGAAACAGAAATTCTACTGTTTTGAAATGAAATTTTGATCCTGACAAAGGACTAAATTATCATATACCAGTAGTTGGTTCTCTCTTGTGATCCTGTTAACAATCTACCATGATACCTCTTTATATAATGATAAATGTTATTGTTGAATTTCTCTGCTTCCATGTATGTTTAAATTTTGATTCCATTAAATTTATGTTTGATGTGTAGGTTATCAGAAGTGTCAGCCAGTGGTCTGCTGGAACAGGTCAAACTGAAGACAGCATTCATAAAGCTTATTGTTCTCTCATCGATAAAGCAGAACACTTCGTCTACATCGAGGTGACATAACTACAACAATGAACTTTCAGTTATTTATTAATAGATCTATAACACCTTCAAAAAAGGAAAAAAGAACTATAATGCAAAGGAATTTTTTCCTGATATTGTCTTTTAGGAAGGCCAATGCTGAATGTATGATCCAATAAGTGGCCTAAGCTTGAAAACCTTTTCCATGCCCAGGAACAGTCCTATGGGATTCTGACATCCTATGGGCTTCTACCAAAGAAAGTAAATTTCGTTTCAAAATGTCCGAAACGTGCAAAGCGTTTTGTTTCCATGCAGCGCTGACCCAAGTGTAAGGCTACTTAGGCGATGGCTTAGGGCCTCATTTGAGAAGGAGGCCCCATTTTTTTATGATAATTATAAATAAAATGGTATTCTTTTTGGTCTTAGTCTTCTCCGAAGTCTCCTCTTCTCAAACAGATGCAATGAAACTATTTGTGTACTTTTGCAGTCACACCATCATCAAGGGAGGAATATTGTTGGGATTTAAAAATTTGATCAATTTCTTTACCTAATGATATATCAAATGATAAGTCTCAATTAGGTTCAAGGGTTTCAACTATAATTATATTATTGGACCATATCAAGTGTATATCATTAGGTCAAAAAATTATTTTAGTGTTTTAAGTCCCAATAAAACTACTCTTAAATATTTTATTCTCCTTTTACGCTTGATTTACCACTATAAATAACTCAACACTTATCGGGAATTATTTCTCTACATTTGTCATGTGCATTCCAATTCGTAATTAATTTAATTAATCATGTCTCCATTANCAAGTGTATATCATTAGGTCAAAAAATTATTTTAGTGTTTTAAGTCCCAATAAAACTACTCTTAAATATATTATTCTCCTTTTACGCTTGATTTACTACTACAAATAACTCAACACTTATCGGGAATTATTTCTCTACATTTGTCATGTGCATTCCAATTCTTAATTAATTTAATTAATCATGTCTCCATTGTTCTTTTAAGATCCGTATATTCAAAGGATATAAATTGAAAATATTTTTTCTAACTTATACTTGCATATAACTGTTTCTTCAAATCCAAGAAAAAAAACTCAACAACATCTTCCTACTAGTCTCTCCCTCACTATTTCTCATTCTTTGACACTTAAAAGAATTTTTTTTTTCCCTCACAAGTATGAAAGGATTATCAAAATCTGGAAGATTTTGTAAAATGTGATCAATTTTCTGACATTGACAACTTAGATTTATTTCCGGAACTAAAAGGCCAACAATAGTTTTTACATCTAAAATTAAAACCAATGAAGTCATACTTGCAATCAATTTTACATCTCAAAAAGATAGAAGAATAAGTTTTAAATAAAATTCCAATTTTACTGTTTATATGGTAATATTAAAATTTAAAAGGCCCCATTTACAACTTTCGCCTAGGGCCCCGATGGAAACTGGCACGAATCGGTGATTCAATATTGAAATTCCTATATTTTGACGTGTTTCANTGACACTTAAAAGAATTTTTTTTTTCCCTCACAAGTATGAAAGGATTATCAAAATCTTGAAGATTTTGTAAAATGTGATCAATTTTCTGACATTGACAAATTAGATTTATTTCCGGAACTAAAAGTCCAACAATAGTTTTTACATCTAAAATTAAAACCAGTGAAGTCATACTTGCAATCAATTTTACATCTCAAAAAGATAGAAGAATAATTTTTAAATAAAATTCCAATTTTACTGTTTATATGGTAATATTAAAATTTAAAAGGCCCCATTTACAATTTTCGCCTAGGGCCCCGATGGAAACTGGCACGAATCGGTGATTCAATATCGAAATTCCTATATTTTGACATGTTTCGGTAATTTGGTACATTACAATGTGTTTTGATGCATTTTGATCAGTATTTCAGAAACAAACTTCCAAATTTTTTTCTTTGTTTATGTCATTTTTTCAAAATGTTTCTGAAAATATCTTTGTTTCCAAGCTGACCGAAACTATGCTCCGAAACAAAATTTCGGTCCTTGGTTCTACCTCTCATATAGCTTACAGTTTTAATTAAACAGTTAGCATAGTTTGAGACTGGGTCACTAGGGTTGATGAAGTGATGCAGCTTACTTTGAAAGGTGAATAAGGACTACATGTTTATTATGACTTCAAAAATGTACTCNACTGGGTCACTAGGGTTGATGAAGTGATGCAGCTTACTTTGAAAGGTGAATAAGGACCACATGTTTATTAAGACTTCAAAAATGTACTCAAAACACTTTAAGATGTCCAATAGACAATTTTTGTAGTATGAAAATAGACTTCCTAACAGCCTTGTTGTATTCTCTTTTTTGGTAAGGTTTTTCACAATTTTTGTAGCATGAAAATTCACTTCCTAACAGTGTTGTTGTATTCTCCTTTTTGCTAATGTTTTTCATTTCTCAAAACTGGTTTCGTCTCTCATTGCTAACGATTTCATATCTTATTGGNCAATTTTTGTAGTATGAAAATAGACTTCCTAACAGCCTTGTTGTATTCTCTTTTTTGCTAATGTTTTTCACAATTTTTGTAGCATGAAAATACACTTCCTAACAGTGTTGTTGTATTCTCTTTTTTGCTAATGTTTTTCATTTCTCAAAACTGGTTTCGTCTCTCATTGCTAACGATTTCATAACTTATTGGCTGCTTACTTCCAGAATCAATTTTTTATATCGGGACTTTCGGGAGATGATATCATACAGAATCGTGTCCTGGAAGCTATATACAGGCGTATCATTCGTGCACACAAAGAACAGAAGTGCTTCAGGATTATTATTGTCATACCGCTCCTACCCGGCTTTCAGGTATGCTTATTGTCTCAACTGAATAGGTTTTCTATCTGGAATTTCTTTTTTCGTCCATGTTGAAGTTTGAATTACAGGGGGGTCTAGATGATGGTGGAGCGGCAACTGTGAGAGCCATAATGCATTGGCAGTATCGAACCATTTGCAGAGGAAACAACTCAATACTGTACAGTCTTAATGCATTGCTCGGTCCTAAAACATATGATTACATATCTTTCTATGGTCTCAGGACGTATGGTCGACTTTTTGACGGCGGTCCCGTGGTCACAAGTCAGGTAATGTCACACATGATGTCTTGGTCAACCATATGTAGATGAGGCCTGAGATCCCTGCCTTTTTCTGGGGGGTACAAAACTGGCTTCGTTTTTATCTTTTTACGTGAAATATAGTTTTGACTATTTTCTAATAGTTTTACTTCATATCCATACACTACAGCTAGCTCATAGCCAATGCTATGCATTCTTTTTCATATCTAGTCAATCTTGGAAGTTATTCTGAAACAAACATCATTATTTATAATCCTGCAGAATTCTGTAACTAGGATAGGCTGATGTAACTGGACCAAGTGGCATACTTCGATTAGTTTCCTGCTTCTTGTTTTGTTCATTTTATTGCAAGGGAGGAAACTAATCACTAGACTGATGCACAGACCCTTAGCACACTTGCTTCCCCTGGGGAAACTCTGTACACCTACTAGGAGTTTGTTGTTATTGAAGAGTACTCTGCTTTTTAATCTCTTCAAGCATTATTATTCCCTGCAGGTGTATGTCCACAGCAAAGTGATGATAATCGATGACCGCATTTCCTTGGTTGGGTCATCCAATGTAAACGATAGGAGTTTGCTTGGATCAAGAGACACTGAGGTGAAAATCTTTATCTTGCCTCCAGGGCAAACTTCTAATTCCATTCAAAACGAGAATGTGCTCACTTGAAATGTTAGCCAACATTAAAGCACTCTTGTTATAGTTATGTTGTTGGCTCAGTTACCTTGCTTCCAACTGTCACAGACTACAGATAAAAGATTAGAGATGCAATTTTAAACGGTAGTGACTTTCCGGAATTTTAAATGGTAGTGGAGACAAGTGTTATGCTTGTGGACATTTTAGTGGAAGAAATTGGCTACTCTGTCTGAACCCAAAAATAGGTGATTCTAGTAGTGTGATTATCAAATGATCCCCAGCAAATAATCACTAGTGCTCTTGGAGTCAAACCATGTGTAATTTGTGGGGATTATAGATGTATGGTACTCACAGAGTTCTTGGAGGATAATCTACTAGGACACCTGTAGTTTGCAAGATTCAAAATCAGGATGCTAATTCCCACCCTGGATCCCTGCCCGCTGAACATACTAAAGTAGTTCATCCAAACTACCTTTGTGATGTGGACTGCTTGATGTTATTTCTTCTTTTTGTCTTTTTTTCTTTGTTCCCCTTTTCGTATTCCATCAGGTTTTAAGACCATCTATATCTCTTCTTTGGTTTGTTTTCCTTCCATTTATGGAAACAGTTTCTGACACTTTTTGTTGACTGCCTCAGATTGGGGTACTCATTGAAGATAACGAATTTGTTGAATCCTCAATGAATGGACAGCCATGGAAGGCTGGAAAATTTTCTTTTACTCTTCGCCTGTCCCTGTGGTCAGAGCACCTTGGTTTACCTGCCAGAGAGGTTAGTGATTTCACCAATTTCGATGCTAGTGCACTTCATTTACTTCAAAAAGGTATCAGCCAAACATATGCTACTGAATGGAATTGTGGGAGGTTCCCCCTCCTTTCACTCCACTCCCCAGTCCCCTTACTTTGATCCCATCTCTTCATTACTAAACTAGCATCAGAGCATTTGATATTCATTATTTGCTACCATTTTTTCAGATTAATCAAATCAAAGACCCTATAGCCGACGCTACATACAAAGATTTGTGGTTGGCGACTTCAACGGTGAGAATGATATTGTCTTCAGGAAACATTACATTCAGTTGGTGTCCCGTTAGTAGTTTTTAAGAAACTAGAAATTTTTGCTAAAAAGAAACTACATCATCTTTGAAAACAGGAAAGTATGTGGAAAAAAAATGAGAAAGTGGAGTTTAAACATACAAGGTTTTAATTGAATTCGGTTCATAGCCTATTAGTTTTCCTTCCCTGTGCTGGTTTATATCTGTCATCCTCTAGAAACTGTAACAACTATTTGTGCACTAATTATTATTTTAACTTTCACAGAATTCATCTACTAGACGAGAGTCATAGACCAAGTCATAATGTGATCCTTACCATCTGAATTAGTAAATGAGATATTACTGTGATGCCAAAATGCATGGAATGAAGGACACTTGATTTTTGCTTCACTCTTTTAATGTTTTTCCTTCATTGATCTGTAGAGTTTCAACATAAATAAAAAGGTTTAAAAACTCTAAAATGATCAACAATACTTGCCTATTGACAGACAAATAGCTTGATCTACCAAGATGTGTTCTCTTGCATCCCAACTGACCTTATACACTCCAGGTAGAGTTGTGTCTAAATCACACCCTCTTCTTCTTGCTGCTTCTTCCTTTCCTACATGCTCCCTACACATTTTTGTGACATCTTGATGATGCAGGTCAGCACTTAGACAAAGTGCGAGCTATTGGAAAGAGAAACTTGGGCACACTACAATTGATTTAGGAGTAGCTCCTGAGAAACTTGAACTCTTTGGGAATGGAAAAATCACATCAACATATCCAATGGAGATGCTAAAATCGGTGAGAGGATATCTTGTTTCTTTTCCGTTAGAGTTCATGTGTCAAGAAGATTTGAGACCAATGTTTAGTGAGGGAGAGTTTTATACATCTCCTCATGTGTTTCATTAGTAGTATTCTGTATGGCTATTCAAATTGATGGGACTTACAATAGAACATTGTACACCCAAGACTAAGTATAGATAACATGCTACCTACACAAGATTCAGGATAGGTTAACTAGCCAAAGGTTACATTGGCGTTAAATGTATTCTTTGTACAGGAATGCTTCTCATAGTAAAATGGGTAAAAAAAATCTAAATTGAAGCTGCATTTTATAATTCTATGGTGATCTCGAGATTGGTATCATATTTCTTTTTTTTTTTTTTTGGGGGGAAGGGGGGAAAGACAAGAAGGCAACACTTTCACAAGGTAATAAGTACCATTGGACTAATGATTGATATCACATTTCAATTCGGCCTCTATTTGGAATTTCATGAAGGGCTCCATTCTCTCTCTCTCTATTTTGTTTGAGTACATAGATCTACTAAGAGGAATTAGACTTCGTTTATCCCATAAAGAGTATAGCATGAGAGAGAGATTTGTTTGAGTAAATAGGTCTCCTAAGAGGAATTGGACTTCGTTTATCCTGTAAAGAGTATAGCATGAGAGAGACAGAGAGAGAGAATAGAACATTACCCTTTTCATTGACTTAATAGATATATATCTACACATGTGAATAAAGCAACAACTCAGTTAGCCTTCACTCACTAACAATTTTTCTTCAAGTTGGACTAATATTAAATAGTCTTAGCTTGGAATCAATATTATCAATTTTATCTTTATTGAGTAACTTTTTTTTCCTTAATTAAAATCCCGATAATAAAAGGCGATATCTTATTTATTATGAAAAGAATTACATCCTTAAAGCGGACATGGACATAAACTTTACGCCGAAAGCACTAAAGTTACACTTTTTAAAAAAATTAATAAGCCACAAATAATGCATGTAACTTCAATATAAAATAAGAAAATTAACTTTCTAAATTGTAGAGGCAGAATCCTTATGAGTCTTTGCTCACCGGCTTAAGAAGATTCATAGCAGCTTGGATCTCTAGCAGCTACCCCTTTGCTCCTCTGCCTTTTCGTGGATTTCCAAACTGGAGAGTCTTGGAAATAAGCCACCTTCCGTAGGTTGGAATTTCCGAAAATACAATAGTCTTCCAAGACCCTCCTGTAACTCCCTTATTAGCCAAAAAATCTGCCATCATATTTTTTTTCCATAAACACGACCCATAACAAAGTTAATGCCTTGAAGAACTTCTCTAATTTTCAGCCACCTATACCGTAACTTCCAATTAAGAGATATCCCTTGATTGACCATATCAACTAGGACTTTAGAATCGAATTCAATAATAAAATCATAATCTTGAATACCCAGCTACAGAATTATCTCCAAAGCATCCAGTACAGCCAAACACCTGCTTCAAACTTAGAACAACACCCATAAAAATTAGAGGTCACCACTAGAACTTGACCTTCATGATTCCTCATTATCACTCCACCACCCGAAGGACCTAGATTCCCCATGTGTTGTGAATCACAGTTGGAGAAGGGACTAGAATATTCAGATTCCCCAACACTAGCTGCTCCTGTCCCCCCTAACAGCCGATCTTCTAGCCTGAACTTGCATCTGTAATGAAGTAAATTTTTGAAAGAATAGTACCTGGAAACAGCCTCTTACCCTCAAACATCCATCTGCACCTCTCTTTTCATACTTCACAATAAAAGAATAAAGAAAATTTTTTCATTAAAGTACGGGCGAGCACCTTCCTTCTGTGAGCACGAACTATTTGTATAAATCTTACCAAAGGGCCTTCTTTGTGCACCAAGGAAAAACCCATAGCTGCAGAAGCTTTCCTCCATATCCATTAAGCATATTTACACTCCACAAATAAATTTTGAATAGTTTCTTCTGCTTGTTTACACAAAACACACTGATTGGAGACAACCACATCAATCCCTTTCAATTTGTCATCACTTGGAATGGCCTGTCTTAGAATCTTCCACCCATGAAGTTTTGCTGTAGGCGAAGCCTCCAGTTTCCATATAATTGCTGCCACTTCATCAATATCACTCCTCATCCTAATTGCATCCCAAGCCGAACGGAGAGAGAAAATACTTGAGCTTGTTAAAGTCCAAATAAGAACTCCTCTCTACCTGAAAAATCAACCTTCATATCCAATAACTCATCCACCAATTGATCCGTCAGCCCATCCCTCACTGCATCAAGCTGTCATGTGTTACCAGTAAATAGCTCANTTTCTGCTTTGTGATCCAGGTGGTTCCTTAGATCCTTTGTCTCCGCCTCATGGACGGGGAGTCCTCGGGAGAGGAATGAATCCCTCGATCCTCCGCCTGAGGCAGCAAACTCGTCTAGCCGGCTAAGGACGTTTACATTGTCCTTCTCCAGCTGACGTAATCTATCTCCAAATTTCTCTTCTATCACCTCTGCCAGCTGACGGGCCAAGGGGGCTGATCCTCCTGACCTGATCCCCATACTGGTTTGGGGGGTTAACCCCCTTGACCGAGTAGAGGCACTTTTAATCGTACTGGTGCGATCCCTCCCTCCGTGATGGCAGGGAGCCTGCAACTCATGACTTCTCTGGTGGGTTCCTTTCCCTTTCTTNTCTCTCTCTCTCATTTGTTTGAGTACATAGATCTACTAAGAGGAATTAGACTTCGTTTATCCCATAAAGAGTATAGCATGAGAGAGAGATTTGTTTGAGTACATAGGTCTCCTAAGAGGAATTGGACTTCGTTTATCCTGTAAAGAGTATAGCATGAGAGAGACAGAGAGAGAGAATAGAACATTACCCTTTTCATTGACTTAATAGATATATATCTACACATGTGAATAAAGCAACAACTCAGTTAGCCTTCACTCACTAACAATTTTTCTTCAAGTTGGACTAATATTAAATAGTCTTAGCTTGGAATCAATATTATCAATTTTATCTTTATTGAGTAACTTTTTTTTCCTTAATTAAAATCCCGATAATAAAAGGCGATATCTTATTTATTATGAAAAGAATTACATCCTTAAAGCGGACATGGACATAAACTTTACGCCGAAAGCACTAAAGTTACACTTTTTAAAAAAATTAATAAGCCACAAATAATGCATGTAACTTCAATATAAAATAAGAAAATTAACTTTCTAAATTGTAGAGGCAGAATCCTTATGAGTCTTTGCTCACCGGCTTAAGAAGATTCATAGCAGCTTGGATCTCTAGCAGCTACCCCTTTGCTCCTCTGCCTTTTCGTGGATTTCCAAACTGGAGAGTCTTGGAAATAAGCCACCTTCCGTAGGTTGGAATTTCCGAAAATACAATAGTCTTCCAAGACCCTCCTGTAACTCCCTTATTAGCCAAAAAATCTGCCATCATATTTTTTTTCCATAAACACGACCCATAACAAAGTTAATGCCTTGAAGAACTTCTCTAATTTTCAGCCACCTATACCGTAACTTCCAATTAAGAGATATCCCTTGATTGACCATATCAACTAGGACTTTAGAATCGAATTCAATAATAAAATCATAATCTTGAATACCCAGCTACAGAATTATCTCCAAAGCATCCAGTACAGCCAAACACCTGCTTCAAACTTAGTACAACACCCATAAAAATTAGAGGTCACCACTAGAACTTGACCTTCATGATTCCTCATTATCACTCCACCACCCGAAGGACCTAGATTCCCCATGTGTTGTGAATCACAGTTGGAGAAGGGACTAGAATATTCAGATTCCCCAACACTAGCTGCTCCTGTCCCCCCTAACAGCCGATCTTCTAGCCTGAACTTGCATCTGTAATGAAGTAAATTTTTGAAAGAATAGTACCTGGAAACAGCCTCTTACCCTCAAACATCCATCTGCACCTCTCTTTTCATACTTCACAATAAAAGAATAAAGAAAATTTTTTCATTAAAGTACGGGCGAGCACCTTCCTTCTGTGAGCACGAACTATTTGTATAAATCTTACCAAAGGGCCTTCTTTGTGCACCAAGGAAAAACCCATAGCTGCAGAAGCTTTCCTCCATATCCATTAAGCATATTTACACTCCACAAATAAATTTTGAATAGTTTCTTCAGCTTGTTTACACAAAACACACTGATTGGAGACAACCACATCAATCCCTTTCAATTTGTCATCACTTGGAATGGCCTGTCTTAGAATCTTCCACCCATGAAGTTTTGCTGTAGGCGAAGCCTCCAGTTTCCATATAATTGCTGCCACTTCATCAATATCACTCCTCATCCTAATTGCATCCCAAGCCGAACGGAGAGAGAAAATACTTGAGCTTGTTAAAGTCCAAATAAGAACTCCTCTCTACCTGAAAAATCAACCTTCATATCCAATAACTCATCCACCAATTGATCCGTCAGCCCATCCCTCACTGCATCAAGCTGTCATGTGTTACCAGTAAATAGCTCAGAAACCTTTGGAAAATAGGTTGGCCTGTCCTCCACCCTTAATATTAATGCACCACTACCCAACCAATTATCACACCAAAAATCCACTCTCATTCCATTGCCCACCAGTTTTTTTGAAAAACCTATGACCTTTTCAATCCAAGGAATCAAACATTTAAATGACCTTAATTTGGAATGTGCTGACAAATGGAGTAGATGTTCATTCCTTAAGAACTTCGCTACAAATACCTTCGCCCATAATGAATTTCCTTGCAGAATGCCCCACACTTGCTTCATTCTAAAAGCTGAAGCCACATCCATGAAGTTCCTAATACCCAAACCACNGATTTAATCAGCAAACCCTTATTGTGCGGGCTCGATCCTGCACGATATATAAAATATTGGGAACAGATCTCTCCCCTGGTGAACTCTGAGTGAGCCGGCTGAGTGGCCAAACACGCCGCTTGAAACAACCTTCGNATTAAAAGAAATAGAAACAAGTTGGTTTTTCATGCAGATTGAAAATAGCATAATAAACTTCCCAGAAAAACCAAAAGACTTCAAAACAGCAAACAAGAAATCCTATTCCCAATGATCATAAGCTTTCATCATATCCAACTTTAAAATTATATTACCTCCATCCACTTTTCGGTCCAAATCATTAACCAATAATTGCGCCAAAGAAATGCATTCACTAATAGATCTCTGCTTAACAATACCATGTTCTTTAGATATTATTCTTGGAAGGATAGGAGAAAACCTGTTCACCAATAGCTTGGTACAAATATTTTATACCAAGTTACACAGACTGATAGGCCGAAAATCAGAGAAAGTTTCTGGAAAAGCAACCTTAGGAATTAAACATAATAATGTTGAGTTAACGAATCTTGGAATTATACCTATGTTCAAGAAAAAATTAACAGCAATTAACAAGTCCTCTTTAATAATGTGCCATGTCACTTGGAAAAAAATCCCAGAAAAACCGTCAGGGCCTGGAGCACTAGCGGTAGACATCAAGAAAACCACCTCCCTGACCTCCCCCAAAGTAGCATTGTTGGTAAGTGAGTCATTTTCTGCCTCTGTAATGAGATTTGGAATTTCGGATAATGCCTGAGGATCCACCCAATGCTGCTCTGTAACATAAAGTTTTGTAAAAAACTCCTTTACTCCTCTAGCCATTTCCTCTCTTGATTCCATCCAATTCCCCTGCTGATTTTTTATTCTTCAAATAACATTCCTTTGGGATTTGTGTTTGGCCATAGTATGAAAAAATCTAGTATTTCGATCTTCCTCTTCAAACCATTTCAGATTAGCCCTTTGTTTCCAAAAAAATTGTTCCAATTTCAGGGCCTCGTTAAGCTCCTTTCTAGCTAAATTAATCACATCTCTCCCTTGTTCTTGATCCAACTCTACTTGTAACAACTTCCCCTCAAGCTCCTTAATTCTATGAAAGATATTTCCAAAGACCTTCTTATTCCACCTTTTTAAGCTCATCTTTAGTCTTTTTAATTTTTGAAAAAAAATCTCAAGGGGATTTCCCGAGAAACTACCACCCCAACTGAGTTCCACCAGTGGTAAGAAACCTTTATTCTCTATCCACATGTCCTGAAAATAGAAATAAGACATCCTAGCTTGGGAATCCATCTCCACCCCTTTAATAAGAGGAGGAGAGTGATCAGAAGAAGTCTTGCCACATGCATCACTCTAGTCATGGAAAACCTCAACTGTCACTCAGAATTAATCATTACTCTACCAATTCTAGACCAGATTCTACTCCTCCCTTGATGATTGTTACACCATGTATACTTGCTACCAACAAAACCACAATCAAGAAGGCCTGCATAATTTATGAAAGACAAGAATTCTTTCCTAGCCTGAAAACTTGGCTTAGCTCCTCCTAATCGTTCTTCCGCTGATGTGACCACATTAAAATCGCTCACCACCACACTGAGAAGGTGTTGCCACAACACTTTACGGATAAGATATTTATAGCTAGAACATACTGGGAATGAAAATCTAGACCTTGGACTCCTATTCTTACATCCCAGAGCAGCCACATCTTCCTCTCCGCGTATATATTCGCAACATAAGAATCCATGTTTATCAAAAGCTGCATCTTGCTTGGGTCATTTAAAGGTTCCAAAACCGCCATCATGGACATACCATTATCATTTATTAAATTCTGTAATCGCATAATAGAGTCTTCGATTTAGAACCTCAAATACTCCACACAATTAATTTAATCATTAAAAAAAATTGTTAGGACTAATTGGAATACCTAGTTACAACGGCATCTCCAACACTTACTCAAATTTAGACTCAAATTTAAATTTGAGTAAAAAAGTTTTAAAAACTTGCTCCAACCCTGACTCAAACTTATACTAAATTAAGGAAAACTCATTTTTTTACTCAAATTAAGGAATACTCAAATCTTTAATGGTAAGATTTTATTATCTTTTAAAGATTCAATGGTCATCTTTATTTCCGTTTAAATTTGAGTCTCTCCTTCTTTAAATTTGATTTTGTCTGTTAGAGTCTTTTATATTAAATTAAACTTTTTACTCAAATTTTAATTTAAATATGAATAAAAATTTAAATCATGATTACAGATACTCTAACTCTTGTAGATTTTTTCTGTGGGGGATGGGCTTACGCCTTTCGTTTCTCCTTAAGCCTTAATAAGAGT